TCAATTCTATAATACAATACAATTCTGGTTACTGTGATTACTATAAACTAACCCCCTAAGTTTGTTATTTATGTGACGGTTTTGCTGATCATTTTCATATGATCGAGGGGGTGTGCTTATTCACGATAATATATGGTAATCATTTAATGATCAGTCCCTAACTACTTTTTGCATAGAAATGGTATGGTGGATATAGATATAAAAAAAATCTTAATGCAGTTGGGACAGCAAGGTTACGGCAATTTTATTACTTTGGCTTGTTTGAATTACTTCCCAGATATCGAAAAAAATATGTAACCTTGCTGTCCTAAAATTAAGTGTGGTATAATTTTGCCTTCTAGAATCCTTTCTTGTATAGCCAGTGCTGTTCCAACATATGTTACTAAATATATAACTAATATTAATATGTAACCTTGCTGACCCAAAAAATATATAACTGAAATGTCACCTTGTTGTCCTAAAAATCATATAACCAAAATGTAATCTTGCTGTCCTATCATAGCTATATATTTTACCATCTCATTATATCTGCAGGTTGTTGTCCCAAAAATATACATGATATGTAATTAATTTTATCTATCAATTATGATAGATGATTGCTGTCCCAGAAATTAGCCATACCTGTGCCCCATTATACCTATATACATTACTGTCTTATTATACCTATGTGCTTTGCTGTTCTGAAATTTTAGTGAATGCTTATTGTCAAAAATCTGATTGCATCTCGATTAAAATTATGTAACACAAAAATGGTTAACTTACCTTATCCAATATATCAGAAGCACTTACACATGAATCAGATGACAGCAACTTACCCAACACAACCCAAAAACCCCCTTTGTATAGAACGCCTGTCATCTTAAATTGGACGACACAAAAACCCTTTATGTAATTCAGATATCAAGTATTAATTTTTTTATTTGAATTTTTTTGCATACTCATTGTAAGAGGCGACAAAAACCCCCTACCTGAGATGAATAACTATTAAATGTAGCAATCTCTCTCCTTCAGAAATTACTACCTGCTTTGTTGAAAGATTTATAACAATTATGCATATTCAATAATTGCTAAAGATTTATTTTTCAACTCTTTTTTGTGCGGAGTAGTAGGAACTTTCATTTTAGCCTAAAATTTCGTTTATATTCCAAGAAAGTGACCTCATCCATACTCTCGCGCTCTTTTTTCTTTTTTCTCTCAAGTTTGAAAAAAAGTATTACTCCAAGGTATAAATATTCAAGTTCAATTCTAATACTCAGTTACCCATCCACGCACCACATAGCCGATCACTTTTTTTACCTATATTCCATGTACGTCTCAATATAACGAACCACATAACGACAATAATTGTGACGGCTGATGCTGAAATCGGCTGATGCTGAAATCCTGTGACCGATTTTCTGTTACCTAATCGTTGCGGGTACCGCGGCTTATACTCTCAAAAATCACGTCATGGTCACACAATTGCTCTTTACAGTATGCATATTAATATCGGTATTTCTTGGAGCATATTGTTGTTAGTTTTACTAATATCGATTTCGTCACCCACCTTGGGAATAATCTCGGTATTTACTTTTGGAGATGAGGTATAGCCTCGAATTACTGATTCTTCGGGTATAGGAGTTCTTTCATTATCAGTGTTATCCGGTATAATATTATCGATTTTTCCGGCTTGATTCATATTTTTTTTATGTATAAAATATTGACTGAGATTTCTATCCGCATAAATATTACTAGAATTCGATATAGAACTTTGTTCCCCACTCTGCATATTCTTTTCGTCATTTCCACCAACCACGGGTATTGATATACATAGTTTGTAAATTTTCAAGTAATGGCCAACTTTGTCTCTGGTGCTTTAACTTTTTTTGATATCTATTTACCTCATGTCTTAAAAATGACTCGGCTATGGGATTTATGGTACTAGCCTCATCCTCTGACATTGGATTTCGCTTCCGAGAAATTAGTCGCATCCAGGATTTATGTGCTATTGAGGGAGGCAATTGACGAATCATATCTGAATATGCTTTGTTGAATTTCATGGCTCTTTGAGTCGTTGCTTTACAACTGATATAGTATCGAGAAACTAATATTGTATTTTACAGCGCAGAAAAAAATTGGAATCTTTCATAAAAATTATGAAATATATTTCTAAAAAAATGTTACCAGCCCTCAGGGATAACGAAATAAAGTCTAAAGTACTAGCCCTTAGGAATACTTTAGGTGGTTTTATTCCTTTTTCCTCCCATATGCATGTTCGGAAAAGAGAGTATATATGCTAAATTATCCATGCTAGTTTTTCAGCTAAAAAAATAACCTTAATATCTGACTTTGAGCAATTACTGCGAGAAGTCGGGGTATATATGAATAAGTTATATAATCTATATATATATTAAAAAAATTGGATTTCTGCACGGTAGACGGACATTGCATATTCGTATTACATAGTTACCCAA